GATTCATCGTTAGGTTATAAGCTTCTTTACCCATGAAAGACAGGAAATAAGCTGTGAATTTATCATCTTTAATATATCTTCTAGCCATTCACCGTGTAATCTTTCAAGCCATCCCCACATGAATCAGTATCTAATTGCCTAAGATTTGACTCCATCGCGATGCCATTGTGATAATTCGAAGTATTCAAATCAATGTGCTAACTAGAAGTTACAAAATGGTGCAATTTAAGGAAGGTAGAACTAGTCGATGAAATTGAAACTCAAGAAGCGCTGGACAATCGGGCGGACAATATCACAAAAGTTCAATACGGCCTTTCTTCAGGATACTAACAAACTCAACAAATTCAAGATAGTCCTCAGCAACAAGTTCCAGGCCTTTCATGATCTACTCAATGGAGAAGGAACTACTGTGGAGAGCAACTGGAAGAGGATCAAAGAGGCAATCACTTCAACATGTCATGAGGTCCTGGGTCACAAGAAGCATCATCACAAGAAATGGATCACTGTTGATACACTGGATAAGATCCAAGAAAGAAGGAACAAGAATGCAGCAATCAATACCAGTCGAACAAGAGCAGAAAAAGCCAAGGCACAAACTGAATAAGCAGAAGTAAACAAACAAGTGAAGAAGAGCATCAGAATCGACAAACGTGAATATGTGGAAGATTTAGCAACGACGGTGGAAAAGGCTGAGCAAGAAGGAAACATGAGACAACTGTATGACATAACAAAGAAACTCTCTGGAAATCGCAGCAAACCAGAACGACCAGTGAAAAGCAAGGAAGATGAGGTAATCACCAACACTGAAGAGCAACAAAACAGGTAGGTAGAACACATCAAAGAACTCTTGAATCGACCAGCTCCACTGAACCCACCAAACATCGAAGCAGCACCCACGGACCTCCCAATCAACGTTGGCCTACCAACAATTGAAGAAATCAGCATGGCCATCAGATAAATCAAGTGTGGCAAAGCAGCAGGACCAGACAACATTCCAGCAGAGGCACTAGAAGCAGACGTGGCGGCAACTGCAAGGACACTCCACATTCTCTTTAATAAGATTTGGGATGAGGAACAAGTACCAAAAGACTGGAAAGAAGGACACCTGATCAAAATACCGAAGAAAGACGATCTCAGCAAGTGTGACAACTACAGGGGCATCACTCTTCTATCAATACCAGGAAAAGTCTTCAACAGGGTATTGTTAAACAGGATGAAGGACTGCGTAGACGCCCAACTTCGTGACCAACAGGCAGGATTCCGTAAGGATAGATCGTGTACAAACCAAATCGCAACTCTACGGATCATTGTGGAACAATCCATTGAATGGAATTCATCACTCTACATCAACTTCATTGACTACGAAAAGGAATTTGATAGAGTGGACAGGACAACACTATGGAAGCTTCTTCGACACTACGGCGTGCCTCAGAAGATAGTCAAGATCATACAGAGTTCATATGATGGATTACACTGCAAAATCGTGCATGGAGGACAGTTGACAAAGTCGTTCGAAAAGAAGACCGGTGTTAGGCAAGGTTGCTTACCCTCACACTTTCTCTTTCTCCTGGATCATGAAGACGTCAAAATCTGAAGGGAAACACGGGATACAATGGACATCTAGGTTGCAATTGGACGATCTAGACTTCGCAGATGATCTGGCCCTTCTATCCCAAACGCAACAACAAATGCAGGAGAAGTCGAACAGTGTAGCAGCAGCCTCAGCAGCAGTAGGTCTCGATATACACAAAGGGAAGAGCAAGGTTCTCCGATACAACACAGCATGCACCAATCCAATCACAATTGACGGAGAAGACTTGGAAGATGTAAAAACCTTTACATATTTGGGCAGCATCATTGATGAACATGGTGGATCTGATGCAGATGTGAAGGCGCGGATCGGCAAAGCAAGAGCAGCATATTTACAACTGAGGAACATCTGGAACTCAAAGCAACTGTCAACCAACACCAAGGTCAGTATTTTCAATACAAATGTCAAGACAGTTCTACTGTATGGGGCGGAAACCTGGAGAACTACGAAAGCCATCATCCAGAACATACAGGTGTTTATTAACAGTTGTCTACGCAAAATACTTCAGATCCGTTGGCCGGACGCTATTAGCAACAACGTACTGTGGGAGAGAACAAACCAGATCCCAGAGGAGAAAGAAATCAGGAAGAAGCGCTGGAAGTGGATAAGACACACATTGAGAAAAGCACCCAACTGCGTCACAAGACAAGCTCTCACATGGAATCCTCAAGGCCAAAGGTGGAAAGAAAGACCAAAGAACACATTACGCCGAGAAATGGAAATAGACATGAAAAAGATCAACAAGAATTGGATGGAATTAGAAAAGGAGGCTCAGAACAGAGTGGGTTGGAGAATGCTGGTCGGCGGCCTATGCTCCATTGGGAGTAACAGGCTTAACTAAGTAAGTAAGTAAGTAAGTAAGTAAGTGAGTAAGTAAGTAAGTAAGTAAGTAAGTAAGTAAGTAAGTAAGTAAGTAAGTAAGTAAGTAAGTAAGTACTATATACCTTTTATTTTCATAATGTTTTCTTACTGACATAGATTTACTTAAAAACAGTACGAATGAGTGCGCGATCAAGTACAAAGGAATCATCAGTTCGCGCGAATACCACAGTAATATGGCTCTCTATATTTTAATTTAGAAAGCTTTGAGCTTCCTGTTTAAATTCCTACAAGTCATCGTGTAAATTTTGTCCTATACGCTGTAAAGGAAGTCAAATTTTTTAGGTTGATCATCAACAAAGGGTTACTGCAAACCTTGATATATTGTCAAGGTTTTCGAGTTCACTCAGGTTGAAATCCTATTTGTTCGAACGTTGAATTGAAGCTTGAATTTACACATTTTGCTAATTAGTTGGATGACAATGAAACGAGAATTTACAGGTGACGCATTAGATGAAATTCTTTTAATGACTAAGGTTGTTGATCATCTTAGGTGAATTTCAATCCCAGTTACCTACAGCAGGATACTTAGGCACCACAGTTGCATTTAGAAATAGTAGGCTAAATGACTTTAGTTTACTTTTAGAACTATGTTTGTTATGGCATCGCTAAGTCACACCACACCCTCTGCCAGGGGAGATGAGATGTTGAACCACGAATCTTGTTTGGTCGTGCCAAGACTTCGTTTTTTGTTACCAGTATCACAATTTTGTGACACCATTCTCAATTGTATTGTATGGGATCTTCAATTTGTGGTTGAAATCCAGAGTCAGAGGGAATATCCAACGAAAGTATGATGACATTTATATTTGTTGTTGTTGTTGTTTAGACAGTTGTAATTGACACAGGGTCAGCATTGTTGTACGAGTAAATGAGTATGCTATAATTTTTGGATAAATGGACTCCTGTGCCACTGATCGTTCACTAGAAATGGTTTGGTAGTCAAGTATAATTGATCATGCAGTATTTCATTCTCTGTATTGACATCAATATTCCTACCGCGGCACCCTCATTAGAGCTGGTCTGTGGTTCACCATTTTTGGAGAACGAATATTATACTTCACCTTATGTCTTTGGTTGATTATTTCACCGAAAGACCAATGATATAACTCAACATATTCTCAGCCTTTACATTAGATGAAACACATACTCACTTGAAATCTGAACTATTGTATTATTTGCAAGGGCTTTTTGTTAAATTCGTTTATTTCACATGTAACCATCCCTTTCATTCAAAATAGTCCATTAGCGAGCAAGTGGGTGATAGGTCTAAAACGTATAGATAAAGTTGACGAACTCTAGGACGAGAAATTTTTCTCGCTGAGCTGCAGCAGAATAAGAAGTGATCTAATAATGGCATACAAAATATTAGGTACACCAAGCTACCCCAGCTCGAGCATATTATCAGAACATCATTACCACACTCCTTGCGGCGACCCTTAAAAGACTGCATATCAAAGAGCAAGCACTCTAATGTGTTCCCACTTCATATTATTTGGAAAGGCTCCCACTTGACATGTTCCACGAGCCGGAGTGACCACATCCCCTTCAGTGGCAACTTCAAGAGAGGCTTGACAAAGTATACTAGCCCATGGATTACTATCCCCCTAGTGAACGAGCTGTGCCTAATACATGTCTCATAAATTATCCGTAACCACTCCCCATTACACTTAGGTTATCTGTTTGTTAGTTTTGGATCACAACCAACCGACCTCCTGCCTAGCAATTTGATAGCTGCTGGTATCCAGAATATCTGCTGACTTCAGACAAACTTGCCCGATTACAAAACATGTGACTCAACAAATAACAACCACAGTGACGTTCAGATATTTCCGATAAATGAGTCTATATTAGTTTATTTCTGCTTAGTTGTCCAAAATTCACTGTTAATTGGAAGGTTATTCAAAACATCCCTCAGTGAAAATAACCTTTACAAATGAAGTGAACTAATGGGTGTTCAGTCCCATTTTTTAGAAATAATATGAAATAATGTCATAGCCTTTGCCATTGATTGAGTCTAATTTTGAAGTGTGTAACAGTAATAATTGTTCGTCAAAAGCAGGGTATTTAAACGTACCGATCAAACTTCAGCGCAAAATATAGTTCAAGGTCACCCTAGCGTACGGTTAGATCGATAAAATGTACGAGACTATAATTTATGGACGAACGAATCGCGAAATTCACTAATCGGTTTTGATAAATAGATTCTTTGCATTATAGCTGATGTCAGTTCGTGTTGAGAACTCGAAATCCAATTCCTAAGCTTAATCGTCAACTCTATATATAATTATAATTCCTCAAACAAGTACATAACCCTCATTTGGTCCTGGTTACTAGGTGGACACTCTCTAGGTCAGTCTGGCGTCGCTCAAAGGTCGTCAATAAATTATAGTCTCACCACGCAGACTTCTATTATTAAACGTAGTATTTACTAGAATTGACGTAGAAGTATATTTCGGTAATATTTAATGATTGATGCTTTTCGACCTCACAGGCCTCATCAAATGTCTTATATTGTCAATAAAGAACTATGAGTAGTTCGCTGCACAACAATCTGCGAGAAGTTTTTGGATGCGATGCTATAGATTCTTGTTTTTGTAAAGAATTATTTTTCGAACAAATCGTATATTTCTTACAAACTTCAAACTTAACATCACAACTCGCTACGCTGGTGGAAGAATGTAATTGTTTGGTGAGTATTTCTACTATCAACCTTTATCATACTCTTGATGATGACAATGATCTCCTGAGGTTACTGTGTTTATTCATAAAATTGATTGGCAATTTAAATGACGAGTTGAATGCATATGTTGGATCTATCCTCGATTCAAGTTTGGAGTCAATAATAAATGATAACAAAATAATGAACGATGTACAGTGCCTTGTTACATCTGTGTTAGGTTCATTGAAATGTGAAAATTTACTACAACCATTATGGCATAGTTATTTGTGTTTAGAACTTGAATCAGCTGAAATGGATACTGAAGAGTCGAATATATTCTCTTCCATCGTTTGTCCAAACATTACAGACAAAAAAATGCAAATTTTGTTATCAGCCCGGAATTTAACTCATAATCATTCTCTAGTCAATTGGAATCATTTATATCGACATTTATGTGCACCTTATATTAAAGAAGCTCTGACATACAGAACAAAGTTATTGTGTTCCGAAAACTATGCCGAACGATTTCTAGATTCAATAATAAAATATAAAAACTGCGTACTGAAAAAAGTTCTCATACCTAGACTATTTTCAAGAAAAAGTGATATACATGATATCAATTCTGAGTTATCGGATGAAATTGTATATAAGACATTCTATTTAGTTCATAAACCTGATATGTTTTCATTAGTTATTGAATACCCAGACTCTGTTGCTGCGCTTATGGACCTGGGCAAATGTTTGGATAATCTCCCAATACGCCAAGATTTGATTACTCACCTAACCGAAGAAGTAAGTTATTCAATTTTTTGTTGTTGCCATTTCACTGTAAATATGAACTTGCTGTTGTTGAAATGTAAGTGTCTCATTTATCTGCCTCTTTAAATGTTCGTAATATTCATAACGGTAAAGCGAAATCATGGATGAGTTAATGGCTGTAAATAACTATGATAAGTGTGTTCTAAACTTCCCTTCCGTAGCGAGATTCTAAGACACTAATTAACAATCCGATCCATATTCTGCAACTGGTCTATTTAGTTTCTCTAGGAACATAAGTACTAATTCGTCTGTCATAATTTAGAAAGCGATTCACTAACTCTAAACTAGGCATGTGATTCATCCTAACCAACAGAGCTGCTTACGTATTGTTGCCAATAAATGCGAGCAATACGACATGTGTAGTGGTGTTCTATTATCTTCTAGTTAAAGAGTGCAAAACTCAGTGCATCATAGCACTACACACATAATTGATTCATCATCCCGTTAAACCGCTAACTTCTGGTTCCAGCCATGTAAATGGTGTACAATTTTTATTTGAGGTCTATTATTATTATTATTATTATTATTATTATTTGAACACATATATATTGGTACAGGAGTGCGCCAAATATATATGCGCCACACAAAACAATGAAAATTTAAGAAGAAGAAAAAAAACAATGAGGGACGTAAAAAAAATAATAATGAAGAGATTGGTGTAAGGGAATGCAGTAATAATCATAGTCATAATGAGGGAACGGAAAGGTATAAGCAGAAGAAATCTTTCAGTTAAGGAAGAAACAACCACTTTTATGAGGAAAGTAAAAGGTTACAGCAGGATCGCCACTGGCTTCTATTCTGGGCCATATCTGATAACGTTTCAAGCCACTGTGTAGCACCATCTCTCGGACCCCAACCAGGGAATTGTGAAGGACCGACACAAGCCAGCCCTTTGCAGCTTTCTTTCATACCACGACACCATGTCATATACTGACCACCTCTCCGATTTCTCCAACCAGTCCCAGTGTCGGTAAACAATGCACGACGTGGAATTCTCTGGGACGACATTCGTAGAACATGTTCAAGCCACCGAAGTCGGTGTTTCAAGATGGTGACACCAATCGTATTATCATCTCTGTGCCCGAACACACGATGACGAACCTCTGCATTACTAACATGGTGTTGCCACTGGATGTCAGCAATCCTTCGGAGACAACGATGATCGAACACAGAGAGTCGTCTAACGACCTCAACTCGGAGAGGCCAGGTTTCACAAACATAGAGCAAAACTGCTCTCACCGACGCGTTGTAAATCCAACCTTTTACAGCCAGACTAGCATCACGAAGGCGCCAAAAATGGCCCAGATTGGCATAGACCGCTCTGGCTTTCACTATACGTGCATTGATCTCATAACTCACACCCGCACCAGCACTTATGCGGCTACCCAGATACACGAACTTCTGGACTACTTCTATCTGATCACCATCCAGGGTGAGTACAGGATTAGAATCCTGCCAGTCTTGTAGAAGTACTTTGCACTTCGAAGGTGCAAAGCACATACCATACCTACGGACACTGATTGCCAACTGATTAAGTGTGAATTGCATGTCTTGGGCATTTTCGCACAGTAAGACAATATCGTCCGCATACTCAAGGTCGAGAAGTCTTTCTCCAGGCAACAGATCCACACCACCAATACTCATATCCATCGGAGCTGTTTCCAAAATGTCGTCGATGGCAAAGTTGAAGAGGAATGGTGAGATTGGGCAACCCTACCTAACCCCACTATTCGAATGGAACAATGGAGAGAGGTGGTTGTATGCCCTCACTCTGCCTGAGGTGTTTGTATATAGGGCTTTTAGGATGTTAATAAACTTCTCAGGCACACCCTTCTTCAATAGACAATCCCAGAGAACAGTCGTGTCCAACGAATCGAAGCCAACCCTGATGTCAAGAAACACTACGATTGTTGGCCTTTGATAAGTATGACGGTGTTCTGACATTCGGTGGAAAGTGGAGATATGATCAATACATCCTCGACCAGAACGAAACCCAGCCTGCTCCTCGCGAGTCAATCTTTCTCGGGTTTTCAACAACCTACGAAGTATGACGGAAGCCAATAGCTTGGACGCAATCGGAAGTAGACTTATCCCCCGATAGTTGTTACAGGAACGACGTGAACCCTTTTTAAAGATAGGGACAACTATCGACTCATTCCATGACGTTGGTACACTCTCTAGTTCCCAAACCTTTGCAAACAACGTCGTCAATTCCTTAGTCAAAAAGTCACCATCATCTTTAAAAAGAGCCGGAGGTAAGTCATCTGGCCCAGGTGATTTGTAACGCTTCAAGAGTTGGAGTTCCTTGCGTACTTCCTCCTCATTTGGTGGATCAGTCGTCACCTGCCATGGGAGGCAGGACAGTCTGACCGATGCTGCCGGAGCAGCAGGCCAGTTGAACTGCCCTTCAAAAAATTCTGCCCACCGTCCAAGATGTCGATGGATGTTAGTGATTGGCATCCCGTCATCCTCACAGATTGTTTCGCTCACACCAGACTTCTTGCTGCCAGTGGCTCGGATGAGTTGGAAGAGCTTCCGGTAATTACCAGATGCAGCTGCTGCTTCCAGCTCATTAGCACTCTCCGACCACCAGGTTTCTCGGTCCTTACGCAAGCTTTGCCCGATTTCCCTACATAACAACCTTCGTTTGTGGTCAAACTCACGGTCACCCGGAGTAGACCGACGGGCTTCAATGAGTTGTAAGGAGCCTGAAGAAACCCAGTGCTTATAAGCTAGACGTTTCGCAAACCCACAACTGACTGTACCCGCCATTTTGATGGCGTCATGCAATTGCAACCAATGTTCATCTATACTTTTCGGTGAAATGGTAGCTAGCCTAGAAGCTAGCTCGGTTTGATACTTACTTGCAACAGAAGTTGCAACCAACTTGCTAACATCAATCCGTTGGTGGCAGTCACTTTGTTGGCCACTGAAAAGTAAGGCAAGATTGGCGCAGACCAAAGCATAGTCAGAGTCCAGATAGGTACTCCAAAAGGAGCGGCAGTCTTGTACACAACCACGCCAGCGGTAGCTGATCGCGATGTGATCAATCTGAATCTAGGCTTCGGATGCAGAGGGAGGACGCCAGGTGGCACATCGGCGATGACTGTGCCGAAAGTTAGTGCTAGCCAGAAACAGGTTGTGGTCTGTGCATAGTTGCAGTAGACGGTCCCCGTTATCTGTCCTGCGACCAACAAGTCCCCATCGACTCTCTTCTGTGCCTAGACACCCGACCTGAGCATTCAAGTCTCCGGCTAGTACTACAATATCTGTCGAACGCACTTTCTGGAGAAGAACAGATAACTGGTGGTAAAACTCATCCTTGATTGCATCCGGGCTGCAATCCGTCGGAGCATAGGCGGAGATGACGAAGAGACATCGTTTCTCACGCCGATTTCTTCTCACTTTGATGGAACTTTCTAATCTAACAGCACATAACCGACTGTTAATGGGGATCCAGTCGATTAGTGCTGCCTCAGCTCTAGCGCTTAGTGCGACATCAACGCCAGCAAGTCCAGACGAAGATGCCACAGGGTCCCCGGATAAGCGCACGTAAAACAAGTTTTTTGAATCGACAGATGGAGATCGAATTTGTAGTACTTCACCAGAGTCTTGAATACGGGTCTCGGATAGACAACAAACATCAATATTAAGACCTCCCAAAGACATAGCCAGCCCTATCTGTTGTCCGACCTGCATAAATGTGCGAACGTTGAAGGCAGCCAGTTTGAATGGTGCACGTGGTTTTACAAAAACTGCTTCAGTACTCATATTCGTTGGTAACATACAATTTTCAACCGGACAGTGACTCGAGAACGTTTAGATAGAGTCGAATTTCCACCATACGCGAGCTGCTGTATAAGTCGAAAAAATAAGTATAGACAGAGTAGGAATAAAAGAGGGTAAATAATGATGTAGTAAATAATAATAATAATAATAATAATAATAATAATAATAATAATAATAATAATAGCAGTAATATTTGAATCATTTGAATGCTTGTCGAAGCAAGAGAATTAGTTTCCATGATCATAAACAATTCAGTTCATTAGTTGTGTGTGGGCTGTGATACTGCCCGGGTGCCCAAACTGAAGCAGGTGGTTTTCTTAGGGGGCCACACCCCGAGCCTTTGACCTAATGGTCTAACCCACAAGGCAGTGGAGCATTGTAAGGAGATGCAGTCCCATGGTAGCCGGTGACCGAAAATTGGTTCATACGCCATTTGTTCCCGCAGGATACTGGAGCCCATGTGCACCATTGGTTTGAAATCCGGTTAAACCGCCGGACATTCGCATTTCATCCTCTCATTTTCGTAGACAACACCCCTGGTGTGAGAAGGCGGTGAGTAGGACTTCCCTGGTAGAGGCTGTATACGCGTGGCCATGTGAGAGTATTTCGAGAGAGAGGGCGAACCCACCCCGCTCTCGGCCATACCAGGGCATTTGAGGTCTACACAACAACTGTAATGTGACAGTAAAACACCAGAGTAGCTCGGCTAAGAAATCCCTTCTCAATGATCCCACTGGAAATTATTCATGTTATAGGTCATTGTTGATAACAAACATTATAAATTAACATAATAAGATGATTATGTTAGAGATTTCACAGCTTTGAAGACATCTTAAACTGAACTACTCTTGTTTTTTTTTGTCTCAGTAGATGTTAAATGCTGAAACAGAACCGGTGTACACCTATGCAAGGCAATAGTTTCCATACGCCTGACCGTTGTTGCTACCTTGACGTGGTGGTCGGGCTTGCCTATCGTGATGAAGCAACCGAGCTATACTGGCTGGAACAACCGTTCCTCAAGGTCCTACCATGTCAGACAGGTCGGTTGAAGAGCGGTAAGACTAAAAGCAACAAACCTAAGGTCCGAAGGCGAAGTCGTACTGCTGACTGTACAGAGGTGTGACAGCAGTAAGGTGTTTCCTTCAGACAACCAGCATGACAGCGATGCTGCCTTCCCACAAGGAGGGGTGGGGTTAGAAAAGGTCGACCCTAAAAATGCACACCTCGCCTTACCTCACGGATTTCCGTCTCCGGCGGTAAGGCTCTTTGAAGAACGGAGCTAACACGTCAAAAACCTTCCACAAAAAGGCCGTGCGCGACCGGCCTCAAGCAGTTGTCCCTTGGGCACTGCGGTTACGCTCTCAGGTCGCTGAGACCGCCTCTAATCCAATTTCCTTTTCAGGTACCTCCAGAAGAACCCTTCCACGGTGTGGGCAACCGGGAAGTGGTAACCGCCCTCATACCTCTAACAGCACCCAAGACCACTGTAGTTTCCATACAACTGACTAACACACAACCTTTCATTACCAGACCAATGTTACAACGTTGTAGAAGTTGTGATTCATATCAAAACATACTATTCCTAACTTTAATTACTTAAATGTCAATTTTGCCAGCAATAACAATAATTCCACTCACATAACTACCTAAACACACAATCCTTCACTTTATGAGTACAAACACCGACTCCTTCCAGTCTTATTGAAGTAATTTATACTTAACTAATTTAACGCATCAACATGATTTAGGCTATTTTCATCAGACATTAGAATCTTTTGATCCAGACTGTTCATTGATTTACACTCAACAAAGTATAGAATGTATTGTTGTATTTATTCAGAATCAGTTTATCTTTTATTATATCATCTTGATATGAATATGTTTCTTCAATATACCAATTTATTCTAACTCACTTAGGTTCAACAACGATTATTGCACCCAGGTGTTCATACTGAACAAATTTTAGCTGCTTATAATTACTTAGTACGGGCTTTACGTTTAATCGATAGTACATTTCTGGTACAAGATATAGTTTGCAAACCAGTCTCGGCATGTCTTCGGCAAAGAGAGGATGCGGTTCGTTGTATAGTTGATAAATTAATATCTGGCCCAGAAACCGATGGTGAAGACGATGAAATTAAAGCTGAAGCATACACTGATACAACTACAGAACTTCATCAAGAATTATTATTACCTAAACCATTGGAGGTTGAACCATTGGATGGTGGTGAAGATAGTGATGCTGATATTGTCTATGAAGGTGAGTTAACATTATAAATAAGCAATGACCAAATATATGTCCTTGTATACAGTAAGTGTGAATGAAATCATAATCGTTTGCGACAAACCTAATAAAGCGGTTAACTATCCACTGAAGAAAATTAATCCACTGTGAAACCACACTGATCTTTCATGTAAATGGGATATATGTAACCGAATTCTTTTATGTATAGCTATGTGTAGAAGAGATAATTGTTTTATCGAATGCTTTAAAAAGCCTACATGGGCGGGGTATTATCTTAGTTTTCATAGTTCGATCATGGAGTCATTCAACATGACTTATTTACTTGGCTATAAACCACACTATGTATTGATCAGTGATGCTACCCTGTTAACGAGACAGTCAAAGCGTATTTCGAACGCTTGACATCTTGTTAAAATCCGGGTGGTCTAGTCATTAAACTACCTCTTCTATGTTATCATAACAGTGTCATGAGTGATATTCAAATGTTTTGTAGTAAATAAATTATTGGAAACCACTCAGTTTGATTGTAAAGTAAGTCATAAATTCCCCTTGCGTCGAAATGTCTAAAGGCAATCTGCTAGACGCTTTGAAATAGTATCTTATATAGCATAACTCTCGAAAGGTAACTGCTTGGTCGAAAATTCCAAATTCAGTAACTAATAATCGGATTTAAGAGCGTTAAATTATTAAATACATTCAATCAGCACTAAAACTAAAAAAACAGCGTTGAGTACTCCTCAGTACTGAGTACTCAACGTAATAAATTACTATAAACATATCAGTTTTACAGGAGGTCAGGCGCTGCCTCAACGGCTTATTAGTAACATATGTGGCTAAAAAAAACCCAAATCCTTCAAGATTGCAATAATAACCTGCTGATAACTCCTAACTAGAACGAAACCAATGCCTAGTGTTCTCGCCAGTTGTTCCCATCTTTAAGCGAACAGTACTTGGATGTCGCGTCATCTATACAAGCGGTTATATCTCTTTGTGATTTTTAGAGTTTGATCAGGCATAACAACTAGATATAACATCTGTTACTGTTCAGCGTCAGAGTTCTATGTAAAGATCTCAGTCCTATAAGTTTATTTATTTATTTGAACAAAATACTGCTACAAAGGAGCACCGAATAAATATGTGCCACACAAGTCAATTGATTTGTGTATGGGCTGTGATACTGCCCGGGTGCCCAGACTGAAGCATGTGTCCTATAAAAGGTTAGTCAGGGCCCAAGTAATTCGTCGGTTATATATATGTATGACTTGTCCACCTGTTTATACCATGTTATGAACGTTCCATCTACACAAAGTTAACCCACGCATTCATCATAATCACCGTTTTATTTTGGTATGTCGAAATAATAAGTACAATATGCATTCATCTCAATAATATTATTACCTTTTGTTTTGATAACAGACCCACCATTTGACTCCGATATACATTCTGCTAACTCAGATAAACATTTTCTTTTGGAAAGTGATTGGAAACCAGATCCTATTGAAGCTCTATGTCAGCGAGGATCTTGGCGTCGTAAATTAGATCTTTTAAGCATGTTAGTTAGTATTTATGGAAGTAAGAAAGCATTTTTAGTTGAGTACAAACAATTATTGAGCCAACGTTTATTAAGACAGAGAAGTTTCCATACAGCAAGAGAATTAAGAAATTTGGAGCTGTTAAAACTTCGTTTTGGCGAACAGAATTTACATGAATGTGAAGTAAGTCGTTTGGTGTGAACTTGATTTTTTTCTACCGTTATTTTGACATTTTGTCAGCATTAAACGCTATTACCTTTAGTATTCGCTATCAAACTTCTCTGTGATTTCAAAATTATATGTATAATGACGAAGATTTTCCGTAATCTACCCCATATCTGGTTTGTTTATTAACGTATGCACAAGTTCTTTTTATTGATTATCAAGAAAGCGAAAATTAGGGATTCCAAGCTACACTAATGGGTAAATTTGAAATCATCTGATCAATGCCTTGAGCGACCTTGTAGGCTTTTACAACATCGTCCAATACATGGACGAACGAAGGTCATGATAACGTTATTTTACGAACTTTGGGTGTACCAATCTTATCCTGATTTGTTACAATACATCTGTCTAGTCTGTCTCTAGGTTTCCTCTTATAGAGTTTTTAAAAGTTCTGTTATTCAGCTATCTCGTCAGTGACCACTTTTTGTGGTGAAAATTGGAACCATTATGAACGATAGTTAATCTTTATTTGCATATGTATTACAATACCAAACCAAGCAATACAACTGAAGTGAAGTTCATGAAGTCAATGAACAAACCACAAACTCTGTATTTGATGCTTTTAATTATCACAATGGTTCTTTCAGTGAATGAGTGTGATTTTATTTATTTGACAAGAAATACGTTCTGGTACTTTGGAAGTAAACTATAAGTGTTAAGACTATATCGGTAGTTTGAGGACTGCGTTGCCAAGATACTGTTAATAATGTTGGGGTTTAGCTCATACACTCCCCTCTTAATAGTCAGTTATTGTCATTCTTTGTCAGACTAGAAGTTTGACTTACCGCCTAAAACAGAAACCTGCATGTATCTATTCTTATATTTGGTAGCCTTGTTATAATCGATATATATCGTTTTCAGAGTTGTAACTGTGATATACTACTCTTATTAGCGACTTATCATTACAGAGCCTATATATCTATGTAACTAATATGTTTTATTTGCATAGGCTGTCACTCACCGTCCACGCTTAATATACAGTCAAAGGGATCTTTTGTGGTATTCGGATGAAACGATCGTTTTATTGTTGTCCAGTCACACATCCGAACCCCTTCCATTTACATCTGTTCTTACATCTGTAAATAACAGTGTTGTTAGATTTCTCATAATTTACCTCAAAATTTAACAGTCGACAAACCTAAATGTCTTTAAATTCTAGTCTTATCCGCGTTAAATTTTTCTCTCACGTATAGGTTATGCTTAAAGATATTCGAGATTCGAAACGAATTGCTAATTTAGTATCAGAAGCTACGTCAAATAATTCAAAAGGAAAGCGTTTAGATCAAACAGATAAATTATTAAACAGTCCTACTCTTGCTCCTGATGGTAATGAAATCATGGAATCAGATGAAACGCAGTTAAAAGTTGATTGTTTGGAGAATAAAGCAACGTCTGTCGTATGTGTTACTGGCGCTACTACGGCTCCCATTACTACTGTCAGTAATGATGATAATTTTATTTTGAGCAGTAATAGTAGTAGTGCTAATAATATTGCTTTTCCTTTATCTGCTTACATTTTATCTATTCATTATTGGCCCGAATTGCTTGATGATAAATTTAAAATACCTGAAGATTTTCGTCCAGTATTTGAACACTATGAACAGTAAGTAGTATATTGGATCAATAAATTTATTTAAGATTTATGTATTGTATGTATACTTAAAGTGCTTATTATTAATCTATGTTATGTATTTGTATCATGAAATGATTTTACATCAAACCGAAGATTGTTTCTGAAATTCGTTGACCTGTCTTACTGTGAAAGCAGATTGAATTTCACTTGACTTTAAAAAGATATTAATTCTAGTCAACTTTATATTATCTGATTGTGTTTTACGACTAAATCATTTATCTCAAAGTAACATTCGTAATTTTTCTAGCAGTATATTTCTTATTATTATTCAACTCCCTGTAATCTATGGTTTTAAACCCATAACCTGCATAAAATAGATAGATGATGGCTAGCAGTAAAATCCAAGACGCGCGTTTCGTCATATCTGGAACTCGACAGCCGAATGTACCTGAATCCCAGATTTGATGTTTACTATGGGACTCAAACCCGATCGCATGATCCATTTAGCTACTGATTCTATATAACCAATCGTGTGCAACGAATATGAGATTTAATTCAATTTGAAATGGGTTCGATTATCCTATTGGTTTTTTTTACTGAAAGTCAATCAGTCTTGGTTGCCACATGGCCATCTTGTGCAGATTCCCCTGCCCCACTAATCCCACATCAACTTGTGTCTTAATGACCACATTGAGATAACCGGTGCATGATCCCTAATGCCAACCACAACTGATTAAATTTCAGTCAAAAATATCAACGACGGGATAATCCAAACCATTCTAACTTCAATCAATGACGCCTCGTTAAGTAGATGTGATCAATTACTAAACAAAATATTTAATAATAATAATTTATATATTCTGAAAATAATAATTACAGAATTCACGCCAGTTTACAGGCACGATTGATCTGATATAAATAAGTAACATTAGATGTACAGAACAAACATGTGATAGAAGAAAGTTTTAGGTATATTAATTCAGTAATTGTTTAGGTAGTACATGTATCGCAGATAACACTTCATTTATAGTATGGTATAGGTTGAGTGATGTATCGCCGAAGCATATCCATCCACATTTAGCTGTATTAAGCTCCAGTTGCCATTTTAATGACCACTGCGCTTCCTTGTTAAGCTCCATGCTGATGCAATTTTGCATATTTTTCAACTCATGTAGAGGAAATGAATATACTACTTTAAGATCATCTGTATATAGAAGGGGATTACCTACACAAAAACTTTCACAAATATCATTGATAGACACTAAAAAGAGCAAAGGGCCTAAGACACTACCTTGTATTACACCACTTCTAACAGGGACAGCGTTAGACAATAAAGAGTTAATTTTAACTATTTGATGTCTATTGCTGAGAAAGGAATCAAACCAAGCTAGCAAAGGATTTTGAACCCCATAAGATGCGAGTTTACCTATAAGACGTTGGTGGTTGACCATGTCAAAGGCTTCAGAAATGTCCAGATATAGCACTAAGACTAGATATCCTTGGCTACGTAGAGAATAGAATAAATTAAATAAGTCAAAATGACATGTTATACAAGATCGATTTTTAAGAAATCCATGTTGAGTATCATTGATAAATTTTCCAGAAAGTAAATAGTTGGAAAGTTCATCACTTATAATTTTTTCCATAATCCTAGAAATAACTGGAGTAATATTTATTGGCAGGTAATTGTTCATGTCAGTTTTATCTCCAGATTTGTAACGTGGTAAGAACCGGTTTCCATAGAGAGAGTAAACAGCTTCAGAAGAAGAAGTGGGATATCTGGACCACCATATTTGTAGAGAAATGATGAAATCCCGTCTACTCCATGACCTTTCGAAAGCTTAAGGGTATTTATAGCCTTATTAATTTCATGCATGTGGATGAGATAGATTTTATTGAGTTGCTAGCCACGCATATAACTCTTGAAGCATAGCCACTTATGTTTTCTACACCATTCGCGAATATACAACTGAAAAGGTCGGCCATGGTTTTAGAGTCGTATATAAAAGTGCTATTATGCTGGATGTACGGTATATCAACATTTCGAGTTGCTTTAGTGCGTTTATTGAAAAGGAGAGTTAAGTTTTGTACTTTCGAGTTAGTATTAAGGGCTAACAGATCCTCATTATTGGCTTTTAACCTATGTTTCTCTTTAATTTGATTAAAAATTATTGTTATGTGTGCAACTGCTGTGAAGTCGTTTGACTTAAAATAGAGATTCTGTAGGCGTTTTAGTTTATTACGATATTTAGCTGGTATATATAATTCGTAAGGTTTACTAAACCTGTACGTTTTAAGAGTTACACTGTGATCTAAACAAGAGTTAATGATCAGATAGAATTCGTCGATAGCATCCATGAGACTATTACATGAAAAAAAGTTATCCCAGTCTGAAAGTTTAATCAGTGAATGCAGGAGGTCCCAGTCAGCATGCTTATTGTCTCTATATTGGCAGGTTTTTTGAATGGGTGGGTTATTAGAGAGATAGATAGGGAGAGCGCAAACTACTATCTTATGGTCACTGCTTTCAAATTCATCGTATACTTTTACAGATAGTGGGATAACATCTCTTCTAAATATTAGATTGAGTATACTGTCGCCTCTAGTTGGGGTACGAACCCACTGTGACCAGCAGTGCATGTTAATGGCTGCCGAGAACTCATCATTACATGACTGACAACTACCGGTAGTCCAGTTAATCCCAGGTTAATTGAAATCCCCAGTGATAACCTTAGCATTAAAGTTTAGAGCAGATGCATGTATGAATGCATTGATAATAAGATAATACCCATTATTCGAACTATCAGGAGCTCTGTATATACATCCATGGAGTAGACTATGATTCAGGGTGTTGACTGATATCCAGACTGATTCTAGTAAACTATTCAGGACACTATCTTCAACTTTATTAGTTGATAGGGTATCCAAAGCATATATAATACAACCACCTCCTCGCTTAGTTTCTCATTAACTCGCCTCACTTATGATATAAAGGGCGAGAATAAGGCTTGAGTGTCCAAACAGTAGCAGGTGGTTTTCTTAGGGGGTCACTTCCCAGGTTTTCCACCTGGAGATCTAATCCATAGGGTAATGAAGCAACGTTAGGAGATGCAGGCTCACGGTAGCCGGTGACCAGTAATTGGTTCGTATGCCGTTTGTTCCCTCAGGATCCTGGATCCCCATGTGCACAGTTGGTTTGGAATCAGGGTTTGCAAACTCCTCTAGGTTGACTCTCCCTATCCAGTAACCCGTTTAAAACGCCGGACATTCGCTTTTCGTTCTCTCAATTTCGTAAATAGCATCCCTTCTTCTAGAAGGCAGTGAGTAGGACTTTCCTGACAGCAGCTTTATACGCATGTCTATGTGAGAGCATTTCGAGAGGGATAGTGGACTCTACCTACCCTCGGCCGTACCAGGGCATTTAAGGAAGTTTTAAATGATTAGTTTGGCTGGTGAAATCAAAATCCATGTTGATTCTATTAGTTGGGACTTTTAACACGTTCTTGCTGCATAGTCAATAATTTTCCCAGTAGGATGGACTAATTGATATTTGACTGTTGTTATTCTTTTATGTTAGTTGCATCAATAGTTGTAGTGCCTCATATTGAGTAACTTTTGTAATTCATACTTGTTTCCTTGTTCGTCTATTTCACAATTGAAATAAACATTAACTCCATTGCATATACGCTCCGAGGCATCTGTGTGTCCGTGTCACCTCGTTTCAATATCATCTATTAAGTATCTTTAAAGTGGAACTTTAAAACAGTATATATCAATTTTAAAAAAATCATGCCTTGATAAATATTTCATAAAACAAGGTTAGAATTGGTTGAATTCTTGTAGTGTAGTCCAATCAGTAACAAACTAAGCTTTATGTATCTCATTGGAAAATTCTTTATTTTAGATGTTTCCAACGTCTTAAAGGCAATAGAACACTCAATTGGATGCATAAACTGGGTCTAGTGAATATCGATCTTACACTTGGCAAACGTAGCGTGAAAATTGATGTTACACCGTTGCAAGTATCAATTGTTCATCTATTCACAAAACAACGTACTTGGTATATAAGAGATTTAGCTCAAGTAAGTAAATCTGTTTCTTACTAGTTAACCCAAAGTTCTCACCCAAAACAATTAGTCCGATATAAGTTTTTATTTAAAAGTTTATTTGCTTTTTTATGAATGTTTACGACACACTCCAATCTGCTAGCCTTTAGAATTCTGAACAAGACGCATAATTTTCCCGAAAGACTGTACACATCTGTTGTTGCTCTTCAAAGGGAACACGACCTGGCGACTAAACAATCTAGATGAGTGAATTTGAAGTATCGGATCCGTAACTTCAGAAGTAAAATAGGCTTTACAGGCGATTGAATACGTCTCTGTCAAGTTCTGGGGTGCATTCTTTCCTACTTTGTTTGTCTCAGTAGGCTATGTTATAAAGCTACTAGACTCGAATCTACTACTTTCATGTACTATTTTTACATTTACTCTTGGCATTTATGTCTGAGTAATCTCATGATATTTCACAGGAAAGTATGATTACATACAAACAATAACTTGTGAGTTTATTTGCTACAACGGACAGCTGTTTGACATACGATCAGCCATCCCGCTTTCGATACAGCAAACATACGTTGATAGAATGCAAACAAGTCTTTTGTCCATGTGTAATTTTCATCAGCTGTCACCCAAACTAAAATTAATGAAACTTTCAAATTAAGTTCATTTTATTAAATTTGCACCACTTCAAACAAGTCAACAATTTATACTGTTAATTATTATCAGTCAGTCAAAGATATGTTGTTTATTGTGACTTAAGTGTAGTCAAAGCACTTACGTACGCATGTTACTGTCAATGGAAAATAGGCGACCGACCAACATTCTACGACCCACTCAGTCCTGGACCTTCCTTTCTAGTTCCACCCAATTGTTGTTCACTCATCTCATGTCTGTCTCTATTTCTCGGCGTAATGTGTCCATTGGTCTTCCTCTTCTCCCTTGGCCTTGAGGATTCCAAGTGAGGGCTTGCCTTGTGGCACAGTTGTGTGCTTTCTTCAATGTGTGTACTATACACCTCCAGCGTTTCTTCCTGATTCCTTCTCTCCCACAGTAGGTTGTCGCTGATAGTGTCTGGCCAACGGATCCGAAGTATATTCCGTAGGCACTTGTTAATAAACACTTGTATTTTCTGGATGATGGCTTTCGTAGTTCTCCAAGTTTCCCCACGGAACTGACTTTGATGTTGGTGGACTCCGCCTGGAGCCCCTCTGGGGCTACTGCCGGTCCTGCGCCCGGATAAAGGAGGAGGGTTGAGCATGAGGTTACCAACGCCATCCCGTAGAAAACTAACTCGCTAAAAAAATCCTAACTAGAAGAATAATCCAAACCATTTAAACTCTGCCCTGGGAGTTAGAAGGTCTTCATTTAAAAGAGTTATGACACCTCATGGTGAAAGCCGAGTTCCTTCGGAAGTCACGAGGCTGACACCCCCTCTGACAACTATAGCAACGATTAATATAGGTACATGGAATGCTCGTACAATGTGGGAAACCGGGAGAGTCATTCAAATTGCTGCAGGAATGAAATGATACAGCCTGGAGGTGTAGTAAAGTACTTGATTTTTAATCATTCCATCATAGGTCCAAACTCTCCACTTCTCTTACTTTGATTTTACCAATCAAAATACTACTAGCTCAAAATTGAGCACTGCTATATTCTTCCTAATACTTCCTGACCACGATTACTGTTTTTGTCTCTTCCCAAATCAGAACGAGAATTAAAAGCGACCAATATGAACTTGAATAATCTAAATAACAAAAAATACTGTTAAGAAGGAAACAAAAATAGATAATCCACTGATAAGTTAAGCCAATTAATTTGTTCTTTACACACATTAGGTGAGTGGTTAAATGCTAGCTTAACTCATTCGAAATTATTGATTGATCGACCATTGCAAATTATGCATAAATAATTACCGTGGTTGCTGAATAGATCAGTTTTCTTCTAGTCTTGTCCTTTTCTTTGGGTCAACATAGGAGTCTCGTTCCATTGCGAGAAGTTGCAGTTATTCTTCGGTTATAGTAAACAGTCTTACCAGTTGTAGTAATCAGTATTTACCTCAAGTCACGACACTGACATATCAATTTAGTTTCAAGTTATTACAGATACAGTAGTAAAAACATATTTTATATAGAACTTATAAAGGAATCTTCTTGATTCATCCAACAAAACTGATTGGTTGAATGCATAGATCAATCATTAACGTATTATAATCTGAGTCTGACAAGAATATTCAGGATTCTATCCCGCTAACAAATATTCAAGTCTAATTTATTAGTTGTTTAGTTATACTGATATACCATTTGCTTGTTTTCGTTACTATCATTAACATATTTGTCCCCTACCTCCTATTTTTTTCGATTCCTCAAGAAACTAGAAAGTCAAATCTCCACTATTCGAACTAGTTTATATATGTTTATTCAGTTAGGATTTATACGACTATCTGATTCACATGATAGTAATAGCCATGTAAATTTTATAAGTGAAAATCTAGAAATCTATGAAGTTTGTGACGAGACAGATACTACTAATTCAAATGAGAAGTTAAGTAATTCAAATAGTACAAATTATTCAAATGATCCTGAGAAAATTGATTCAAACACTATTGAAGCAACAAATAATTGGATGTTTACATCACAAGATCATTCTGATTCACTTGTAGCTAGTGTTAGAGAACGTAAAGAAAAGGAATTACAAGTAAGTACTAACAATACTCATATTAATTTGTACACTATATGTTATATAACATTCCTATTATATGCCATATTAGTTCATTAGTTTACATAGTTAAGTGGCACTTGTTTGAAGGGTATCAACACACTCAATAGAACAGTATTAGTACTATTAAATGCAATATTGAACAAGTTTAGTTTCTTTTGAATACACATTCATGTACTTTTAATGAACCATCGTTGCGCTACTGACTCACCCCTCAACGGGTAGTATCCTTAATAAATATCATGTACACATGACACACTAAGCTGTGCAATCATCCACCTTACTCCCTTTAAATCGACCAACATATTTAGACATAATAGCTCAATTTTGTTATCCCTTTTTAATTGCACCATTTGATGACACCGTAAAGTAAGGCTATTGGAAATACACGACGATGACATTAGCCTGTTACCTCAATGTCGTCAAACTGCTCGACAGTATAAAGATCAATGAAATTAAACCTCGCCAATTAACGACCACTCTTCAGAAGTGTTTTTTAACCATCAAATTTCGAAGCTATTTTTGCACGTTGTTACTAACTGCTGACAGCTAGGACACTATTTCCAGTTAAGGATGCTCATTCTATATCGGTTATCACTGAAACAGAACTTATACGCGTCGATGCAAAAAAGGTGGATATCGATAACAGATAAATATTTATTTATAAAATGTACCGTACTTTAGTTCATGTGTAACAACTTTAGGTTTACGCATATTTTTGCATGTTATTGCATTGTTTATGACTGACTGATGGTACATTAAACCATATATAGCTAAATTTTTGTTTCGATTTCATATTTACTCTTAGGTATTTTGGTCTTATATCACTGCTATGTTAACCAACCTTGGAAGTTCGTCGTTAGACCGAATCCATTCGATGCTTAAAATGTTCGCACTCGGTTCTACATCCAGTTTAGGATTTAATAGAGATGAACTACGCCGATTTCTAGATAAGAAAATTAGAGAAGGCCAACTAAATTATGATGGTGAAATGTATAAATTAACAATCCCTGATGTGTAAATACTTTAAGCGTAATGTACAAATGAATATCTTAAAATCTTTTTAATTTGAAATTACTGTATATTTCTTCATTGTCGTTTAATAACAAAAACATAAACTTCTAAGGGGTTAAATAAGGTAGCGAATCGCCCTGTATTTTTCTATGCCTGTGAAACATGGTCTATGGAATGAGACACGCGTGAGATTCAGACTCCCAATTGTCTTCGGAGTATTCCCCGCGTATCGCGAGTAAGCGTGAAGATGACGAATAATTTGTCCTGCTTCTTTGCTGTTTTCATACAGATGAAATGTATCTAGGCCATTTATAGTGTGTTGTAATTGATAACTGTTAAATACGCAACAGGTATTTAGGTTTTTGTTCATAACAGTTTTATCTACCTTTTCGTTTGGAAAAGCAATTATCTGTGTTTTCAATCGACCGAGGGATGACCATGTTGTGAACAAAAATTGTCACACTTGACAAGAGCAGATGAACTTCTTTGATCTAACTATCTTATTTTAGGACACTATATAAACCTTGCAAAAATGCAATTCAAAAAGGGGGGTTTTCAACATATTTTGTTAATTCTATATCTGCTGATATATTGTCTGAATTCAGTACTAATACATTGGGTCGATCAGAAATCGACTGAATAATAAGTAAACGTAATTAACTAAAACACAGGTTTCATTTTTAAGAGATGATATGCCAAGAGGCAAACGTACGGTTAATTTGGTTCAATCAATAAAATTTATCACTTTGTCCTTTCATTCACGTAGCCGGTTGGGCTCGTGTATAGTACGATCGCGTATCAATATCAGCTCACAGATCCTATAAGTCACAAGTTTATTTAAGAAAAACCAGTTATTACTACACACACAACATACGTACACAAGGGTATCTCAAATAATTAACTATCAGAGTGACTGATAAACCTCAGTGAAGTCGAGAACGTTTGCTGTGAAATTCAAGAGCAGCTATTAATATTTACTTATTTTTCTTCCAACATCTACTGACAGTAACTAAGTATCTCTTCGACAAACAGGTATGACGTACGCGACTGGTGAAACTTATTTCTGAAAAGAAAAAGTCGACTGAAGCACTTTACTTGTAAATGAATTTATTATTGAGAAATAACCAATTTGACGTAGAAATAGCAGGATATAACGAAACTACTGCTGAAAATCGTACAAAAGAAGATGATGAGACAGTTCTGAGTTTGACAGACGATAGTACGATGAAATTATTTTCTACATAGATCGAATCGTTTAGCTACATCGCTCCAATTTATAATATCCCAAATCGCCTTTACATAGTCTGGACGTACATTTTTGTACTGAAGATAATATGCATGCTCCCAAACGTCTATCCCAAGTAAAGGTTTCAAACCTATAAATTTTAATAAAATTCAATAGATATATTAAGCTTAGAATGGAGGTGTTAATAAAGATTTTTAGTATTTGTCAAAACTTTCTACACAAATGAGTTTAAGATCACTCACTTTATTTTTACCTGTAATATATTGATGGCGCTAAAATGTTCTTATGTTTACACTATAGTATCTGTCATTATCCTTAGGATTTTGTAGTGCTACATTGTAAGAACCTTATTTATTTATTTAAACACATACACCTTGGTACAAAGGGGCACCAAATACATATGCGTCACACTTCATTCGATTTGTGTGAGGGCTGGGATACTCCCCAAGCACCCATACCTAAGCACGTGGCTTTCTTAGGAGGCCACAACCCGAGCCTTTGACCTAATCCACGAAGCAGTGGAGTAACGTTAGGAGATGCAGGCTCATGGTAGCCGGTGACCATAAATAGGTTCATACGCTATTTGTTCCCTCAGGACCCGGGTGTCCGTGTGCACCATTGGTTCGCAATCAGGGTTCTTCAACTCTCCTAACTGGGATCCTCTGTATCCACAAACCCGGTTAAAGCGCCGTCCTCTCAAATTTGTAAACAGTATCCCTTCTGCTAGAAGGCAGCGAGTAGGACTTTCCTGGCAGCAGCTTTATACGCATGTCTATGTGAGAGCATTTGGAGAGGGATAGTGGACTCTACCTACCCTCGGCCGAATCAGAGCACTTGAAGGCTATAAGAGTTAATCTTACCGTCATACTTAGTGATCGTATCAACTAAGATACTATCATGGAAATGACTTGATCATCCTTGTAAGTTTCAATCATAGACAACAATCAGTTCTTAAGTTCTGATATCATCCAACTGCACGTTATGAAATAGGTAAAGAGAACCTGGGAACTGAAAGTTAACAGTTGAGAATTGAGTGCTTTAGCTGCGAATACAGATCTTTATAGGTTAATGGATCTCAAGTCATAGTTGTTTTGTGAATCCAATAAATACCATATTTGGACAAACTGTAGTATAAGTGAAGCTCTAACGCAAATTTAAACCACAGCTTTGCAACTAGGAGTTAGATAACAGAAAAACTATATTCCTTACACTGAAGCTTATTAGTTAACCAAATAGTATTATGCATATGTGAAAAAGTCATCTTAAGATTTACCCATAGTCCCTTCAAGAGGGTCTTGATTAGCGCATGTGGCAATTTGTAAACGCTTTGTGTTGGGATTATATCCAAGCCAACCCCAACCCGAACCCTGGATAGCAATTGTGGCAGCAGACAGCTTTGACTTGAAGTTATCGAACGATCCAAACTCATCATTAATAGCATTAGCCAAACTACCCGTAGGGACACCCCCACCTTTGGAACTAAGATTATGCCAAAAGATGCAGTGATTGATATGTCCTCCACCATTAAAGCGGAGTGCTGGCTAATAGAAAACATTTAAAAATATTGGAAAAGCAGTGAATTTTAACATAATTAACGGGGTCCACTACCAAATAAAATTGTTTAGAAACGTCATGCTTATCAACAAAAGGAAGCAGCTGACTAGTATCTCCAGTTAAAATTATGGCGCTGAGTAAATAAACTTGCGTTAGATGAATGATTTGATATACATAATTTAGGACGAGAGGGAGTAAGTTTGGAGGTGCAAAACGATATATTTAATGGAGGTATAAATTAATAAGCCACACATATTAGCTGTTGTATATCATTCTATAGTTTACTATCAACCTACATCTTTGTCAAGGCCAAACCACGTTTACGACTAGAATTTTTCCGACTAAAGTCTTTGTTCCTAACCTAAAAACCAACATTTTACCGATTTCAGTACGGACGAATAATTGAAAAAGACCAATACGACATTTACATTTCTTGGCCGATGTAACACTGCAATTACTCATTACTCCATGCAGTTCATATGCCTTAGAGTATATGGTGGGTAAAGCATATCGAAGGTATAAATAACTAGATATTTAAGCTTGACAATGAAGAAAACTACAGGTGTGACTTTCTCACTCGGTATAACATGAAGACTGAGTGATTTCCGACCGAAAATAGTAGACCACCCACAAAAAATATGCCCGGAACGATACAGAATAAAAAGGAAGGCGAGGGAAAAACAGATGAATAATAAAACTTTTAGTTTCGTTGCTGCTTGCTCATAGTTTTTGAAGCAAGATAACGGTCGGCTTATACTTCTTTTAGTTTCTTACAATTACTATCCGATTGTCTCTACAACTAAGGACTTATTTTGATACCTATTTACTACATGAATAGGTAATATAGCACAGAAAATATATCAAACTTAGTACTGTTCATATATTTCAGTCAAATAAGGAACAATACACTGGCGTGATAGTTTAACTTTGAGTGTGAGGTCTATTGTTTTTCTACGGACAGACTCCCAAGACTGAGTTCTTCAGTTTGCAAATGGTAAAAAGTGTAGAGTAACCAGCACATAACCTAAAGAAATCCTCATATATTATAACTAATTAGTGTCAATTGCTTAGTGTTCCAGTTAGTTATTATTACTAAACTTACGAAATCATTATTCGCAAGATTTTAACATTCTGACTAAGGGAAAAGACCCACTTATATCAAATTTAATGATAGTTTCTAGAGAAGTATTCAAAGTCAATGACCTGTCATGTGTAGGGATGTCCACATAACCGACCTACGTTTTAAAATGTGAAAAGGTCTACTATTTTCATATTATAGTATGAAGCACTATGTATTAAGCATTTGAAGTGACACTCAAACGGAATACTTATACTTAAGTATAAATACTCCTCCCAAGAATATATCATTTTACATCGATATTTGACCCATGACGACTGACCTGAAGAGATATTATTTTTGTAACGTCATTTTTCGAGATAGCTTCAGCAAGCTGTTCCTCAGCAATATTGAGATTGTTAACATATGCTGCATGATGTTTGGAATGATGTAACTGCATAATTTCTCCTGATATTACAGGTTCCAAAGCATTGTGTTCGTATGGTAAAGGGGGCAATGTATGTTTAAAGCGTAGTCCATAATTACGAACGATACTGGATCTGAGGATGCGTGCAGTAGCCATCGCGTCACGAAAAGTTATAACTCCTGTAGCGCCTACAACTCCTCGCGCACTTCTGTAGTGACTCACTTTTATCACGAGAACACGATTGGTTTATTGAAAACAATTATTATTATAACCAACTGTACCAGTGACTGATTTAATGTGCTTTTGTTTAACTGTGCTACAAACATCCATTATTCATGCACTTTGATTGTGACTTCGCGCTAATTCGGTTACGTTCTGTAACCAAGCTTGTATCCTGGCACGATCTCTGTATCCTTTCAATAACACGAGATCGCCAACAAATATATCTCGACTTGGTCCATTAACTGCCTTCTGATATTTGGCTTCTCGGGGATTTTATGGAGTCATTTGGCACGCGTTTCTCCGTAGCGGTGTTCATAGTCAAGCTCCACTCGACACCACGCTACACTTCAATGCCCAAATCCAAACTCTAAATCCTGGTTGCCAGAGATTGCTTGTACTCTGGAACCTGTGTCTGGGTAGAAATAGAATACTTCGCGTTTCTGAGAAGAATGATTCCTGTTATATTTTTCATGCATCTAACGATGTCGTTCAATGTGTCCCTTTCCTACATTTAACTCTCTAGGGATTGGAAAAATACTATAGTTAGTTCTACACTTAAACGTGGACAGAGACAGATCATACCCAACTACTGACCTGTCAGTCTGGCCAGCACAGTAGTAACATTAGTGGAAATAATCCTGGCTAGGTACTTAATTCACATATCGCTATACCATCGGTTAACTCCTGAGTAACACGGGTTTCAGGATAGGCATTCACGCTTGATCAACTTACTTATTGCGAGAGAAGATGGGAAAGCGGACCAAAATAACGAGTTTTCTGTCAATGCTGTATACACAGATTTTAGCAAAGCGTCTGATTGAGTTTCTCTTTCAGATTTTGTGCAGAAGTTTTCGAAATTTGGAATAATAGGTGAGTAACTTCCTCTGCGACCAAAAACAGAGGACGACGATAAATCGAACGTTTTTTAAATGGAAGCTTGTCAAAATGATATATTCTAAAGCATCATCATAGATCCCCTCCTTTTTCTACTTCAATGAATTACCACGACTAGTTAAGTAATCAACATCATTATTACAGGTGTTGTCAGAACCTGGAAACCAACAAATAGTGGCGCTGATCATTTTGGTATTCAAGTTGATCTAGACAAATTAGTTGGGTGGTCTCAAAGTTAGGGCTAAGAACTTCATTCCAGAATTAGTGTGCAAATGCACATCAGACAAGGCAATATTTGCCAGAATGTACTCCATGGCACATCGCTTTCATATGTGCTGGGTTGTCGTTGGTTTGGTATACTGAGCATTATCTGTAATATAAGAGGGTTTCCAGTAAGGTTGATGTCACGACTGTATAGAAATTCATATTCGGAATGATATCCAAGGGTGTTTACGATGTACCAAGTCATCGGGAAGCCGCCTATGTTCCATAGCGTTGAAATTCATTGATTATCTATAAACGGGGAAATGGTTATGAACCGCACGAGACATCACGAATAGATTTATCCTAATCATTCCATCCTGCATAGATTACAAAGTTACAAACTATAGATGAACTAACTAGAGTTCACTTCGTATTCTAACTACTCTTTCGACTGACCTTCCTTAAACTGACTACTTGTGGCATCGTTTTTAACATAAAACTATATAACACAACGGTTTTTCCAGAGGACGTTATAAGCAAACACTGGAAACGGTTATGAACAATTTCAAAGTTGGACTATCTAGTGTCCTGGAAGAAACTCTAAAACCGAGTCTGCATTGTCGGCTGAATAATGCAAATGTAGACAAATGTCTTGACCATATCATATCCTTTGTTTTAATGAAGAGCACATGATAAATACAATAGCAGGGATTACAGTTGGTACTCTGTACTTAGTGACGTCCAGAATGCCAACTTTTATGATGGTTCGATCGTAAATTCCATGCTAGTCTCCTCGAATAGTAGAGTTTTCAGAAGGACCTTGTGTCTCCTGGATGATCATGTAGTTGAATTAGATATTTTGAGCCACAAAAAATCATAACATAACCAGTCAAGGCACCGGGCCTTGTTGAATTCTGCCTAGTCTTATAAATCAATACGATTTAGCAGAGCGAAGTTCGATGTCCAAATTAATTAGCCGAAAAACCATTTGATCTTTACCTTTATATGTAGCTAGAAAATTGACCAGCAATTGAAAGACTGGACCATGATATCCCATTTGTATACATACATGGCCAGCTTTCCTTCATTTTGATGGTAATCTACTCCAAACAATAGAACAATAGGATAGGTTAGTTGTATTCAAACCCACTAAGTATCTCCATTACACCAGGATTGTATTACACCCTGTTTACATCGACTCGTTTTTTCATGTTCCAGAACCCTAAGACCTCTTTGTATTTGAATGGTGTTCGCGCTCCAAAATGCCCAGGTCATTGTGGCAAAGGTTGTGGTTGACTTTGCTGGATTGTTGCTAGGTCAGAATTCCCCAGGTAGTATCATGGCAACCTCACTAAGGGAGCTATATGCCGCTTACAAGTTCTTTTCCAGTATATTAATCGACATATGCCCTTTTTCCTATTTGCAAACTTAACCAGAAGCTTAGTGTTGCTCTTCATATACATTGGTAAAATAATCCGATAGGTTTTCAGCATTGTTATACTGTCCTACTTGCTTTTTGTGTGCAGTTGTTTAACCTGCTCGTCTAACATTAACATGTAACAGACTACAAGCCATGAGTCAATAACTTCCTAAATGGTTGTTACATAGAGAAAACACACCTCATAACAATGGATTCAAGTTATACTTTGAACTTATAGAAGCAGGGAGGAGTTTCAGTCGGAGCGTGACAAGAAATAATAATAATTCTTGACCAAATTCAATCACCAAGTAATCATCGGCAAAGTAACGTCAGCAGATCCAGGGCCGAATGCGTGCACAGTCTATTTATTTCAAGGAGTTAGCTACGTCTAAATGCTATTCTATCCTTTCTTCATGGACTGGCTACAAAGCCAGGACTTCAAGGACAGTGGAGTCCAAATACATTGTTATATGAATTTTTACTGACACACTTCAGCTGAGCGCTTTGCACCCTTGGGGTAGGTTACATGGAGATTTTTCTAAGTAAGGTCTTCGGTTTACTAATATCGGTTTGAACAAACTAGGATTCATATCACATCTTAGAAGAATATCTGCCGTCAAATATGTACTTGAGAATATTGATATAGTATAATTAGAGCACTAGAAATCGCCTAGCTCATATTCCGTTATTGGTATTCCCTATTGCTTAGAATGTTTAGTTATATTTATTTTCATCTATACGATAGCCACTGTTTGTTAGCAAGGAAGCAACTAAATGGAGAAGTTTGGTGTAGATTATATCTTAGGGATTGGGAGAAATGTAATTTGCAGGTAAAATGAACACTCCTTTAATTTATTTCTACATCATTAATCATCTATCATTGTCAATATAACTATGATTATAAGCATTTAATCCGATTTGTTAGTGTTGTTGGATAAACACTCTTCGATTCACACCACTACTTGATTTCGTGTAAACTAATTGCATTGGGGTAAAGTGAATATTAATTTTGCAAGTATGACGTTAATATGTCTCTGTTTGTGTTCTAATACACAATTTCTTCCAACAGATAATGACTTTTCGTTATTTTTTCTTGGGCTATCATTATCGAAGTATATGGGGAACAGAAAAAAGTTTTTCTGTCGTGTCCGCCAAGTATATGTTTAATTAAGAGTGAAATTCCATAATTCCGGACTTTCACGAAACAGAACATGTTGCAAAGATGATTGCGTTACATATGCATTACACCAAATGACTCCTAACAACAATCTTCAGAGCATCGCTTACTCTACATGGTACTGAACCGATCAAAATTTTTAGTTAGGCCTTGAAACTTGATAGTTATCGTATAAATAACGATAAAGATTTATTTTAAGCTTTCAAAGTTGTTTTTTATATTTAACCTATGCAAACACTTTTTAAAGGCTATTGAACATTTAGACGCAATGCTATGGTGATAGAATACTATGAGTTTTCAAACGTCACTCAGCAATGTGTGTATGCAATGCATTCGAAATCTCATTCTTCTGGCTTCTAGACTTTACTTCCAGACTGTTTGAATGTTACACTTGTGTTAATACCAACTTTAGTCGGTCATTTTGATCAGAACCATTGATGTGTTCTATGTGCATATGATTCGTAAGCCCTGTTTTTCTTATTGTTATTATCTTTCTCAGACGTCCACACATGCTACCTCTACGATGACCGCACTTTCAGGCAAGACTCATAATGTTATACGCATACATTTAATTGTGGGACTTAATATCAGCACAGTTTCAATAATCTGACCGACTTGTACACGATGAGCATTGGTAAGTGGTAGTTTATAGAAGTTCGATTTTTACTTGTGAACAATATATTGTGACGTTTGTTATTTTCATTGTCCTAAAGTTGATGGCTGGTGGCTAATGGATTAATTGGGAACTAGTATACTAATGTTCCTCGATGAATGTACATTCATCGAGGAACATTAGTATCCTATTCTATCTTATTCTATTATGAATAAATCTAATTCTGGTGTTATTGGTTTCAAAGCAAACTAATCGTAGAACAATTTGAAATACTTTAAATGAAACCGCCAACGGCATGGAAACATCTAGGTTCAAAGGAATTATCATTTTCAGTTTCAGTTTGGGAAGGACAGGAGGCTCGATAGCCTATGTTAGTCCTGGCAATGATAGTCTCTCAGTTGATCCAACTTTCTTTTGAAAGAGTCGACGGATGGAGCCTCAACCACGTACTGAGGTAGTAAATTCCACTCGTTGATGATTCCATGGGAAAGTCGATAGTCAGTTGGCAAGTAATTCGTTCTCGGCTTATGAACTTTTTTGGAGTGTCCTCGTAAATTCTCTGTTTTGGAAGACAAGAAAAATGAGGGCATATCAAGTGCAAATTTATCACTAAGCAATTTGAAAACTGTAATCAAGTCGCCTCTAGTTCTGCGATATGACAACGGGAAAAGGTTCAGCTTTGCCAGTGTAGATTCATACGGAAGCTTCGCTATTCCGGGAATCAGCTTAGTTGTCGTTCTCTGAACTTTTTCCAGAAGCTCACTGTCGTTTTTTAAACAGGGGCTAGCCGCTTGTATGCAGTACTCAAGTTTAGGACGAACGAACACTGTATACAAAG